TAAAACGAATAACTTTACCTTTTATTTTGTCACAAATTCTTATTTATAAGCATTAGTTACGCTAGCATTATTAGTTGCCCAAATAAAAATGGGCAAAAAGTTGAACCCACATGGGCTAAAGCCCAAAACGGAAAAAGAATTACGGGTTCAAAAGTTTGGGGGTTCGAAATGTTACTCTTTTGAGAAGGTGATGGAATACTAACCAGAAACTAACTTCTAACTGGTGTTTTGATGGGAAATATTTGGTAATGCATGATGGTTTTACTGCATTTTCCTTTTGCTGTTGATTTCTGCAGAGGATTTGGCTAATGTCTTGGAATTTTTTACATAGTTTGCTTCGGGGAAATGGAACATAGTTATTCTGTATTTGTGAAAGTTGATTTGTGAGTGTAGGTTTGTTTTTGTAAAATATGCTTAATGGAGTTTCTTTGTGTGAATTCGCAGGCTTCATGACAGAATTTAATTGGTTCAGATTATTCAAAATGGGCTGTTAAGCCTGGACCATTTTGATTTATAACGTTGGCATTAATCTGCTTCAGTGATATGTTGATGACTTAGGTTTGATTACATTTCCCTGTATTATTAGAGTGCATTCTTGAGTTATTACAGAATTGAAACCCCAAAATTGTCACGAAAGGACTTAAATCCTTTGCACATCGGCGCAACAGCTACAAAATCGTCATTTTAAATGACTTGCTACAAACTGCTGATTGAAGTGTTTGTGCTTCTATTTTCTGACAGGCATTTACTTCCTTCCTTTAAATTACTATATAAAAACAGCTACTAAGAGAAACCTCTACTCAAAACTGGTATCTTCTTTGCTTTCCAGGCCATACTTTAGAATAATTCTTAGCACGATTGTGGCTACCGTGAGCTACAACAATGGAACATAAATTGAAGAGACTGTTTCAGTCTTTAGCATGACATGGCCTTTCTTACATTATCCTCAAATGATCTTCATGGTTTGACTCTATAAATACATGTTCGACGGTTTCTTCAATCTAAGATACATACACGAGCCTTTTCACATATCAGAAATTTTCAAGATCCAAATTACATTTATCTACAACTCTTATGAAACTGTAGAACATGATACTAAAACTTAAAGTAACTCCATCATTTTAACTAAAATGCATATATACCAGATGCTTATGTCCGTCTGGCTTAAAAGTTACAAATCCAAAACATGGCTAAAACACGAACAATATCAAACATGATATAATATTGTAGGCTATTTCCAGCCTAATGTTTGTGCCCTAATTTATCATTTCCTAAATCACATTCTCAATCCCCTCACAACTTCTTCTGTCACTGTTGATTGTAATACTTTTCTTCCGACCGATGGACTCGTCCTCTGCATACACACTTAGGATGCCGTTGGCGTCAATAGCAAAGCAAATTCTGATTACAGGAACACCCTTAGGAGCTTGAGAAATGTCATCGAGGATAAATTCACCCAAAAAGTTATTGTCTAGGGCTACTGTACTCTCACCCTCATAGATGGAGACTCTGCCTCCTAGTAGTGAAACCATCGACTTTGATCTCCACGGGAATTCTCGTGTTCCTCGGAATAATAACTGACATGATACGTTCAGCGCGAACCGCCACGCCAAGGGACAGCGGCGTGACATCCAAGAGAGTGAAGTTTTCAAGCTCTCCACTGAGATTGACACCGCCCAAGACGGCAGCTTGAACAGCGGCACCATACGCTACAACCTCATCTGGATTAATGCCCTTGGATAGTTTCTTTCCATTGAACACATTCTGCAATAGTTTCTGCACCTTGGGGATTCTAGAAGAGCCACCAGAAAGTACAACATCCTGGACTCTGCCTATGTCCATTTTAGCATCCATCAAACACTTGTGTACCGGTTCCATGCACTTGTCGAAGAAATCACTGTTCAGTTCTTCAAATTTGGCACGCGTAATGGTTATGTGGAAATCGATACCTTGATGCAAACAGTCAATTTCAAAGTCAGTAGTAGTCGTAAATGAAAGTCTCCTCTTTGCCTTCTCGCATTCATTTTTTAACCTCCTAAGAGCTTTGGAGTTTCCACTGATGTCCAATTTATGCTTCCTCTTGAAATGCTCAACACAGTAGCCCACCATTCTTTTATCAAAGTCTTCACCTCCCAGGTGAGTGTCTCCAGCAGTGGCCTTCACTTCAAACACACGATCTCCAATGGTAAGAAGTGACACGTCTAAAGTACCACCACCTAAATCAAATATCATCACATTTCTCTTGCCATACCAACCGGCCCTTTTTTCAAGTCCATAGGCAATTGCTGCAGCAGTTGGTTCGTTGATAATACGCATCACCTTTAGGCCAGCACTAATTCCTGCATTTTTTGTAGCCTCACGCTGGGAGTTGTTGAAGTAAGCTGGGACTGTGATGACAGCATTCTTCACAGTTGATTCGAGGTAAGCTTCAGCAATCTCTCGCATCTTCGAGAGAACCATAGATGAGATCTCTTCAGCAGAAAACTGCTTCTCTTCTTGGCCTTTGTGGGTAACCACAATCATAGGCTTAAAACTCACCCAAAAAGTTATTGTCTAGGGCTTTTGTACTCTCACCCTCATAAATGGAAACTCTGCCCCTAGATTGGTGATCAGCCATAGTAGTGAAATCATCGGCTTCCTCCACGGGAATTCTCGTGTTCCTCGGAATAATAACATGCATGGCACGTTCAAAGTCAACCTCCAAGCCAAGTGACAGCGGCGTGACATCCAAGAGAGTGAAATTTTCAAGCCCCCCACTGAGATTGACACCGCCCAAGACGGCAGCTTGAACAGCGGCACCATACGCTACAACCTCATCCGGATTAATGCCCTTGGATAGTTTCTTTCCATTGAACACATTCTGCAATAGTTGCTGCACCTTGGGGATTCTAGAAGAGCCACCAGCAAGTACAACATCCTGGACTCTGCCTATGTCCATTTTAGCATCCATCAAACACTTGTGTACCGGTTCCATGCACTTGTCGAAGAAATCGCTGTCAACCAAAACAGAGGCAAGATGGCAAACTAGGCCAACCAGACACCAGGCAACATAATACAAAGCCAACTAAGAGAAGACATAAACAAAATCTCAAAAGAACAAACTAAGAGGCGCCTGCTTCCCACACAACTTTGCCCCTCCATGTTCTCATTGAGGACTTTTATCACACACCTTGCCCCCATTGCAGCATGCTCAAGCAAAGCTCCAATGGAAAATATGGGGACTTCATGAATGGGAAGAAGGGTGAGTAGGAGCAATAGCCTTCACTCGCCCTTATGTGGAGCTGCCATTACCTATCTAGATGTGCACGGAAGATAACTTTACCAAAGATGGAGTTGATGTGGTTTCTGATGACTTGGTTAGAAGCTGCTTCGCCGACCAACCGCTCATTAGCAGTGAAGGCAACAATAGATGGAGTTGTTCTGTTGCCTTGATCGTTCACTATAACTTCCACACGATCATGTTTCTGTAGCCACACTGCAACACACGAATACGTTGTCCCAAGATCAATTCCAATTGCATGGTTTTCTTCTCCTGCCATTCTCAGCTTGAACAAGAACAAAAGATGGGAATGTTTGGGAGTGTCTCTGGCTGTCTCTTTTGCTGATAGGGAAGAAAAATAATGTTCCAAGTGCAGGGTTTAGAGAGATGAGATGGAGGAGGAGAGAGAAGAGATGGGGTATAGAAAAGATGAAGAGAAGAGACGGAGAAAGCTTAGAGCATCCACGCTACTTATTTTTCAGTTAAAATTTAGCTAAAAACACTAAAAAGTTCTTTTAGGAGCTCTTTATAAAATTTCAACTCCAACCTTGCTATTTAGTTTAGGGAATCATAAATGATTTATTTCTTTTTTTAGTTTAACATAAATACTCCCTCTTCATATAAAATAATAATAATAAATAATTAGCATTAGAAAGCAACATTTAATTATAAGGAGCCACTAGGAGTCCTTTCTCTTTTCTCTGATTTAGGAGCTCCTAAAGGTCTCTATATTTTAAGAGTTGGACTGGGAGCATGATTGGAGGTGGGTTTTCTCACTTCTTTTCTAAATTTTATCCGAGGAGATGGTTTAGAGAGTTCATTGTGGATGCTTAGAGGGAGTGAAAATAGCTTGATATTTTTTGTTGGAAACTATTTCGGTTTTTGGAGTACATCAATATGGGGAGGGGGAATAACCTAAATATTTACGAAGTGCCTGTGGGTGGGAGATAAACTCTCGTGGTGGGATAGTTCGGGGGGGTTCGAACCCCAAACCCAAACACCTACTCACTACCATGGTAGGAGGACGCCACTGGCTTTTTGCGGGAAACTCGACTAGGGTAAAAGGCATAACTTTTTGAACTTTCCTAAAAAAAGAAAAGAAAAAGAACTAACTTTGGCTTTGTTGCAAAGGAAGGAAGTGGAGCCCACCAATGAAGACTTTGGGGATGCTTTGTCTGCCAATTCCTTCCCTGCAAAGCCATCATCCTTCTGTTGCAATTTGCACCCCTCCAGAGAGAAGAGTTGGAGGATTAATCGTAATTCGTAACTATAAATGCATTTGCATTCATTTCAATGTTTTGATGTCTCAATTGTTGTGCAGGGTCCCCTTTGGAATGCAATCAATCTCTAGAATTTGTTTTGAGTTGGTTGTATTCAAAGGTTCATCAATGTCAAGCAACTGTTAAACACAACTCCCAGTCACACAATTCTACTATTAAATGTTCATCCCAAACCAGATACGTCCCTGGAAAATGATTATTTGACTCTCCTAAATGAAGAACAAATAGGTTCTTCCATTTATAGTGAACGTTCAAGGTCTATGTGATAACATTAATAAAGATTAAAAAAAATATGGCAAACCCCTTAAAACATCAAATTGATCTAAGGCATAAATTAATGTGCCTTACATGACTGTCCCAATGCCTTCACAAGTTCAGCATCAGTAAATTCAATGTAAGATGGAGAGGTTCTATTGCTCTGCCTGTCCACTAACATTTCAACAAGATCTTGATGCCACGCATCTAAACTCCCTTCTTAGTCCCAAACATGTTAGTTTTCGAAGTTACTATCATAGGTATCTAAATAATTAACAGCAGCAATTCAAGTTACTATAATAGTTGGAAAAATAATTACAATAAAAGCAAAGGTTGTCTCAGAGAATCAGTCATAGGAGACCGTGTCAGTATTCAGCATGTCCTGATCTTTCTTACATTATCTTCTCAATTCCCTCACAAGTTTTGTTGCTGCTGAGGGTAATCCCCATCTTCTGGCCAGTCAACATGTCCTCAGCGGATACATTCAGAATTCCGTTGGCATCAATTTCAAAGCAAATGTTGAATTTAGCGACACCCCTTGGAGCTGGAGGAATATCTTTGAGCCTAAAATCACCCAAATAGTAATTATTCAAGGTGGTTGTACTCTCACCCTCATAAATGGAGAATCGAACAACGGCTTGGTTGTCATGGCGAGTAGTAACAGTATAATTCTTCTTGACAGGCATTTTAGTGTTTCTTGGAATCACAACTGTCATGTCACACTCTCGTCCAGTCTCCACACCGAGTGATAGAGGGGTGACATCCAAAAGAGTGAGGTCTTGAAGCTTCTCATTTCCCTTGCCACACAAGATTGCAGCCTGAACAGCAGCACCATAAGCCACAGCCTCATCCGGGTTAATGCCTCTGCACAACTCCTTACCCTTGAAAACATTTTGTAGAAGTTGCTGCACCTTGGGAATTCTTGAGGATCCACCAACAAGAACAACATCATGGACACGGCTTATGTCCAATTTGGCATCCTTCAAACACCAAGTATTGCGGACAACATACTGCCAACAAGAAGTGAAACGGCAACGACAACAAATGAGCAAGCCACAGAAGGGGCCTGCCTTGAATTTGTGATTCTATCACAAAACACAACCAACATATTGTCATGGTTACAGAACAAACATCCAAACTCTAAGCAGGAGAACCAAAAAGACTTATCAAATATAAATGAAGATAAGTAGAACCCAAAAAACTAGAACTGAAATCAAGGGGGAAAAACTTGAGCAAATTTGGATCCAATGGCTCACCAAAAATGCATGAGTAATCAAATGGGGTACTCAAAATATAGATTTTGAGTCAAACATCTTTGATTTGAAGGCTTGAAGTCGTTTTGTGATTATTGGGTTAGAGTAATTAAGAGGGTGAGCAGCTAAGGACTTTGGGAAAGGGATAGACCCATTGTTTCCTTTTCCTGGGTGCATGATGAGAACGGTGAACGAAGATAAAAATGATAATTTGACACTGTTAACTTGTATGTAAAAGCATCAAACTAAAAAACGCCTCTTTTTATCTTTTTTCAATTTAGAGCATCCACAATCATACTATCTATTTTTTAGTTAAAATTTAGCTAAAAACATAAAAAGTTATTTTAGGAGCTCTATATAAAATTTAAACTCCAATCATGCTCTCTAATGTAGGGAGTCATAAATGCTATAACTCTTTTTTAATTAGTCCATCTCTATTTTAAAAAAAATATAAAAAATAATTAGCATTAATTAAAGGTTCAAAATACTCATTAAATAAAGCAACATTAAATTATAGGGAGCACTAAGAGTCCTTTCTCTCTCCTCATATTTAGGAGCTCGCAGAGATGTCTCTACTTTAGGAGGTGGATAGGAAGCATGGTTGAAGTTGTATTTTTCCAATTCCTTCTTAAAATTTGTCTAAGAATGTGGTTTAGGGAGCCCATTGTGGATGCCTCCTCCAGCACTCAAATTTCTGATTCATCTCTTGACACAACCACCACACCAAAATGGACTAGTTTACAGTAATAACACACCGAGTATAAACCATGCAAGAGAAAGGACTTTCTAATCTGTACTTCCTCAGAGACATTATGAGGCCATCAGGACTTAAAATAAAACGTTAAAATTACGTCAAACCTGCAAGGGACGAAATTTGATTAATACAAGCTATTTCAGTCTATTGCATGCCAGAAACTAAAGTTTCTTACGTCAGTCTATAGACTTTCTTAAATCAGTGACTCAATTCCTTGAGAAGTTCTTCTGTCACTGTTGAATGTAATCCCCTTCTTTTGGCCCGTGGACTTGTCCTCAGCAGAGACACTCAGGATACCATTCGCATCAATATCAAAGCAAACATCAAATTCTGGGACCCCCTTTGGAGCTGGAGGAATGTCATTGAGGAAAAATGAGCCTAAAAAGTTATTGTTCGTAGTTCTTGTACTCTCACCCTCATAAAAGGCAACGCAGACACGGTCTTGGTTGTCCAAGGAAGTAGTATACCACTCCTTCTTTTTGAAAGGAATTCTGGTGTTTCTTGGAATTACAACTGACATGATATGTTCATTCCTTATCCTCACCCCAAGTGACAGAGGGGTGACATCCAAGAGTGTGAAGTCTTGAAGCTTCCCAGTTAGATTCCCACCACTCAAGACTGCAGCTTCAACAGCGGCACCGTATGCGATAGCCTCGTCAGGATTAATTCCCTTGCACAGATCCTTCCCCTTGAACATCTCCTGCAAAAGCTGTTGCACCTTGGGGATCCTAGAAGAGCCTCCGGCAAGGACAACATCATGGATGCTGCTTATGTCCATATTTGCATCCTTCAAACACTTTTCAACAGGCTGCATGCATTTTTCGAAGAAATCTATGTTGAGTTGCTCGAATTTGGCACGTGTAATAGTCAAGCAGAAATCAATACCCTGATTCAAACAATCAATGTCAATGTCAGTCTCAGACATAAATGAAAGCCTCCTCTTCGCCTTCTCACTGGCATTTCTTAACCTCGCAAGAGCCCTTGGGTTTCCACTAATGTCTACATTATGCTTCCTCTTGAATTGCTCAACACAATAATTCACCATTCTGTTATCAAAGTCACCACCTCCTAGATGAGTGTCTCCAGAAGTGGCCCTCACTTCAAAGACACTATCAGCTATGGTAAGTAGTGAAACATCCAAAGTACCACCACCAAAATCAAATATCATCACATTTCTCTTGCTATACCAACCGGACTTCTTGTCAAGCCCATAAGCAATGGCTGCAGCAGTCGGCTCATTGATGATACGCATCACATTTAGCCCAGCACTAGCACCTGCATTTTTCGTAGCCTGTCGCTGAGAGTCGTTAAAGTAGGCAGGGACGGTGATAACTGCATTTTTCACCCTTGAACCGAGGTAGGCCTCAGCAATCTCCCGCATCTTTACAAGAACCATAGATGAGATTTCTTCAGCAGCAAATTGTTTCTCCACGCCCTTGTGCGTAACCACAAACACTGGCTTCTCAGCAGGACCTTCAACGACCTTGAATGGCCAATGCTTCATATCATTTTGAACGCATTCATCACTGAACCTCCTACCAATTAACCTTTTTGCTTCTGCAAATTGATGACAAAATTAGAAATACACAATTCGACAAGGAAACAGGTCATATGATAAAAGTAAAAGCATATTGTCAATATAAAGATGTTGTAAACTTTTCCAAATTCTCTCTCTCTCTCACTCTGCCAAAATTAAACTAGTAATTACTGACTTGCTATATGTTATAATTTATAAGCAAACTGTTGAAAAAAGTAATGCATATTTGTGTAGATATAACTACACAATTCTAGAAAACTCAAGAAACTACAAACTAGATTATGGAATGTCGGCAACACAAAAAAAATATAAGCAGAGAATATTCTAGATGAAGCCACACACTTGTGGCTGGAGAAAAGAACAAGGCAGTGGAGCATGATGGCTAAACAATAGCCACAAAAATAATATGTTACAATATAGAAGTTTCTAGTATAAGCCGCACACTTGTGGCTGGAGTAAAGAGACCAAGTCGGTGGAGAATGCCTATGTCGGCTACTCTCATCTATAAAAGGACTTGTAGCCTTCCCAAGCAAAGTGGAGTCTAACAAAAAGAACTCCCAAACTAATGGAGCCAAGAGTTACCCAAACAAAGCTATGTTGAGGAGCCAATAAGCTCACCAATCTAAGTGAAGGGCCAAATAGCCTAAACTAATCTAAATCAAGAGAGACAAGGCCAATAAGCCAGAAAATAAGGAGGCCGATTAGCCTACACCAAGCCATGTACTATTCTCCTCCAATGTAATAAAATCACTTCGTTTCAACTATTGTCTATAGTCCTAAACCCCTTCACCACATAAACCAACCTCACCACTCACAATCACCCTTAAAACAACAATGGTATCAGAGCATCACAAACACACATCACACCTACTAAATTCTAACACAAACGATAGTGAATAAGTACACCTTCTGTGCTGAACAAATCAGTTTTAATAAAAGTACTAACTTATGAAGCGTCGGATAGAAACGAACAAAAACAAGAAGACATACACATTTTTTTTTTTTAAGGAAGAAGCTGAGCCTCAGCAGATTTCAAAGCTGATTTGTGAAACAAATTAATTGGTCAAATGTGGGAAGGTCATGAGCCTACCGAAGATGGTGTTGGTGGGGTTTTTTATGACCTGATTGAAAGCAGCATCACCAATCAAGCGCTCGGTATCCGTGAAAGCAGCATAAGAAGGAGTGGTCCTGTTGCCCTGATCATTCACTATAACTTCTACATGATCATGCTGCCACGCAGCCACGCAAGAGTAGGTTGTCCCCAGGTCAATCCCGATTGCATGGCAAGCTCCCGCCATTGTCAGCTAAAAGGAAACTGAAAGAAGAATAGCAAAGAAGAAAAATGGTGGCAGAGAATGAAGAAAAATGGGGTGCTGGAAATCAAAATCACACAGTCGAACTCAGTTGGGTTTTAGGGGATTGATTGACTTTCACTGTGGATTTTCAGATTCTTAGGATTTTGAGAGAGAGGAGAGAGATGAGATGGAGGAGGAGAGGGGTAGAGAAAATATAAAGAGAAGAGTCGGAGAAAGCTTTGGAGGAGTGAACATAGCTTGAAATTTTTTTGGGGAAACTTGACTTGGGTAAAAGTAACAGGCATAACTTTTCGCAGCAGTCCAACAAGCCCATTCCAGCTCTCAACAAAAAGACCCAACCAAAGAGGGAGAGAGAGGAGGGATGTGTTGAGAGTATTTGTGCCATATTGAAAAGTTAAGGGATCAAGCCTAGGTTTATAAGGAGTTGGGCTACTCCCCTCATTGTCAATTGGTTTTGGTGTGGAACCTCAACTTCCTTCATAGTATCAGAGCAAGGCTTCACGTGTTGGGTACAACGGCCACAAGTGCTCCCACGTCACCTAATATGTGTTGTCCACGTGTTAGGCTTGAAAGTCCAAGCCTAGGTTTATGAGGAGTTGGGCTACTCCCCCATTACCAATAGGTTTAGAAGGAGATGCGCAGAGTTGTTATGTGGTTGTTTTTTTAATTTTATTTTTTGAGTTGCTTTTTATGTTTCTTAATGCGTGAAATAGGTCGTGTGAGTTGTTATGTGGTTGTTTTTTTTCATTTTATTTATTGAGTTTGCTTTTTTTGTTTCTTAATGCGTGAAATAGGTCGTGTCGTGTTATTTGTTATTTTTAGCAGTCATGTTTGTATCAGGTATTTTCCACCCGTTAATTTAACGGGTCGTGTCATGTCAACATGTTAAAATAAGTGGGTTGACACCAATACATGACATGTTTCATACCTCATATTATACTGTTTTGTTCACTCTCTTTTAATGATGTATGTCGCCGGCTTGGAAAAAGGAAAAAAATTATAGTTTCACATTTTAAAATTTTTATTTTTGTCAGTTGTTAGGAAGAGGAGGAGGAAGAAAATTATAGGTTCTTGGTGGAGAAGAAAAGTGCAGCAGCCAACGAAATAAAAGAAATAGGAAAGGAAGAAGAGTTGCCGCACCAAAAAGCTAAACAAGATATAAAGATTTGTACTACCAAAAAACAAATATATAAAGAAACAGAGAGAGAGAGAGAGAGAGAGAGAGTGAGGAAGAAAATAAAGGAAAAAGAAAGTGGCAACTTTGTTGGGGTTGGCACTGGCAGCCAAAGAATGAATGTAAGTGGTTCGTCACCCAAAAAACAAGCAAGTGATAACTTTAATAAAGATCAACATCACATTGATTTAATATGCTATTTCAATAGCATACGGCATAAACTAATGTGCCTTACATGACTCTCATTCCTTCACAAGTTCAGCAATCCAATGTAAGATATTGCCCTGCCTGCCTGTCCACTAACATTTCAGCATGATCCTGCTGCCACACATATCTAAACTCGCATATTGGCTCCATCTTGGTCCCAAACGTGTCAGTTTTCTAAGGATTTGGATGAAGTATTAGGTTTTTAATTACTTGTGCAAAAACCCTAATTATCATTAGATTATTATAAATAAACCCAATTCTAGACATGTATTTATAAAAAAACCCACACACTATTTAAACATAGAAACACACCCAAAATCAATCCCAAAATCAACAATTGTATATTTTTTGGGTGTGTTTATAAATGGGTTTTGAGTGTGTGTAATGATGGATTTTGGGTGTGTTTATAAAGTGTTTTGGGTGTTGGGTTTTTTTATAATTTCAGCCCCTATTTTGGGTGTTTTAGTGAAACTCCCAATTATCATTGGTATCTAAATAAAAGGGACATATTTGGCTGCACAAATTAAAGTTAATATAATAGTTGAAAACATTATAACCATAAAATGCAAGAAGAATTACGTAGTTGTCTCAGCTCAATTAATTATAATAGACTGTTTCACTCTCTTACATTATCCTCTCAATTCCCTCACAAATTGTGTCATTGCTACTGAGGGTAATCCCCTTCTTCTGGCCCGTCAACATGTCCTCAGCGGATACATTCAGAATTCCGTTGGCATCAATTTCAAAGCAAATGTTGAATTTATGCACACACCTTGGAGCTGGAGGAATATCTTTGAGCCTAAAATCACCCAAATAGTAATTATTCAACGTTGTTGTACTCTCGGCCTCATAAACCGCAAATCTAAAAACAGCTTGGTTGTCATGGCGAGTAGTAACAGTATAATTCTTCTTGACAGGCATTTTGGTGTTTCTTGGAACCACAACTGTCATGTCGCGCTCTCGTCCAGTCTCCACACCGAGTGATAGAGGGGTGACATCCAAGAGAGTGAGGTCTTGAAGCTTCTCATTTCCCTTGCCACACAAGATTGCAGCCTGAACAGCAGCCCCATAAGCCACAGCCCAATCCGGGTTAATGCCTCTGAACAACTCCTTACCCTTGAAAACATTTTGTAGAAGTTGCTGCACCTTGGGAATTTCTGATGAGCCACCAACAAGAACAACATCATGAACACTGCTTATGTCCATTTTGGCATCCTTCAAACACTTATTATGCACAGGCTCCATACACCTGACAAAGAAATCCCTATTGAGTTCTTCAAATTTAGCGTGAGTAACAGTTACATAAAAATCAGTACCCTCATACAAACAGTCAATTTCAATGTCAGTTGAAGCCGTAAAGGAAAGCTCCCTCTTTGCCTACTCACAACTATTTTTTAGGCTCCTAAGAGCCTTGGAGTTCCCACTCACATCTAAATTATGCTTCCTCTTGAATTGCTCAACACAGAAATTAACCATTTTGTTATCAAGGTCTTCACCTCCAAGCTGAGTGTCTCCAGCAGTCACCTTCACTTCGAAGACACCACAACTTATGGAAAGCAGGGACACATCTAACGTACCACCACCGAAATCAAACATCAGCACATTTTCTCTTGCTGTACCAACCAGCCCTCTTGTCAATGCCATAAGCCATGGCTGCAGCAGTGGGTTCGTTGATAATACGTGTCACCTTTAAGCCAGCAGTGGCACCAGCATTTTTTGTAGCCTGACGCTGCGAGTCATTGAAGTAAGCAGGGACTGTGATCACTGCATTCTTAACAGTCGAACCGAGGTAGCCCTCAGCAGTCTCTCGCATCTTCACCAGAACCATGGATGAGATTTCTTCAGCAGAAAACTTCTTCTCTTGGCCCTTGTGGGTAACCACAATCATGGGCTTATCATCAGGACCTTCAATGACCTTGAAGGGCCAGAGCTTCATATAATCTTGAACACATGCATCACTAAATCTTCTGCCTATCAACCGTTTTGCATCTGAAAATTTATGCCATATTGAGAAAACTAATCCAACAAAGAAAAAGAAATTTAAAACTTTACCACGCACCAGCAAATTCCTGTACAGAAAAACTGGTGAGAGCATACTTTTTACGAAACTGAAAGCATAATACTGATAGTGTAGTTAAGATATGGCTTCTTAAGCCGCCCAACTAGGAACACCCACATCAAAATCAAGACAAAACTTTCAACCTCATTAAGGGCTGGGATTAAAACAATGCTCACAGGAAATAAGAACAGAGAAAAAACAGAATTAGAAAACTCACAGGCTCACAGGAAATAAACAGAACAGAGAAGTGGCATATATAATTTGGATGTGGGAAGATAAGCTTGCCAAAGATGGAGTTGGCAGGGTTTCTGATGACCTGGTTGAAAGCTGCATCACCGACCAATGTCTCAGCATCAGTGAAGGCAACGTGAGATGGAGTGGTCATGTTGCCCTGATCGTTCACTATGATTTCAACACGATCATGCTGCCACACTGCCACACACGATCAATTCCAATTGCATGGCCTTCTTCTCCAGCCATTCTCAGCTCAAAATTCAAAGAAGAACATAGAAGAACAGAGAAAAACTTATTTTACTTCTGTGTCTAAGTTGTTGTGCAGGGGACCTTTGGAAGGCAAACAGTTCCCAGGACCCCAGAATTTAATGTTGGTACATTGTTCCATGTCAAACTAAGGTGCATGACAAAAACACAACTGATAAGTCATTTATAAATCACATAAATTTACTCTTTTCATCTAGATGTTATATGCAAAAGTTGATTGTTCTATAGAGATCTTCACATATTCCAGCTTTTGTGTTTTCAGGAACTCTAAAATGCCAAAAATGGAGAAATTACTTTTTACCAGGAGATTTTGGTTGAGACCACTTGGAGATGAAAGCTAAGAGGTCAAGAGACGTTATGTCAAAATTTGAGAGCTATTGGACCAGCCAACTGTTCAGAACGAATTATTAATTTCAGGGCATGTGCCATACGGGCAGATTGGAGCTGTTGGACTTGAGGACGATTTTAGTCAAGTTTATGGGATTTTTCTTGGAAACTATTTGTCATACAGTCTATTTCATGCCAGAAATTAACGTTTCTCTTACATATGTCTATAGACTTTCTTAAGGAAATGTCTCAATTCCTTCAGAAGTTCTTCTGTCACTGTTGAATGTAATCCCCTTCTTTTGGCCGGTAGACTTGTCCTCGGCAGAGACACTCAGGATACCATTGACATCAATGTCAAAGCAAACATCAAATTCAGGAACGCCCTGGGGAGCTAGAGGAACGTCACAGAGGTAAAATTCATCCAAAAGGTTATTATTTGTGGTTGTTGAACTCTCACCCTCATAAATACGGAATGGAACCACAGCTTGGTTGTCGCACGCAGTAGTCAAATTCTGGTTCTTTGTTACGGGAATTCTGGTGTTTCTTGGAATCACAACTTTCATAAAATGTTTCTCACCCGTAGAGAGTGAAGTCGCCACCCCAAGTGACAGAGGGGTGACATCCAAGAGTGTGAAGTCTTCAAGCTTCCCAGTAAGATTCCCACCACTCAAGACAGCAGCATGAACAGCAGCACCGTATGCCACAGCCTCATCAGGATTAATCCCTTTGCACAGCTCCTTCCCCTCGAACACATCCAGCAATAGCTGTTGCACCTTGGGGATCCTAGAAGAGCCACCAACAAGGACAACATCATGGATGCTGCTTATGTCCATATTAGCATCCTTCAAACACTTCTGAACAGGCTCCACGCATTTTTCGAAGAAATCCATGTTGAGTTGCTCAAATTTGGCACGGGTAATATTTAAGCAGAAATCAACACCCTGATCCAAACAATCAATGTCAATGTCAGTCTCAGACGTAAATGAAAGCCTCCTCTTCGCCTTCTCACTGGCATTTCTTAACCTCATAAGAGCCTTGGAGTTTCCACTAATGTCCACTTTATGCTTCCTCTTGAATTGCTCAACACAATAATTCACCATTCTGTTATCAAAGTCACTACCTCCTAGATGAGTGTCTCCAGAAGTGGCCCTCACTTCAAAGACACTATCAGCTATGGTAAGTAGTGAAACATCCAAAGTACCACCACCCAAATCAAATATCATCACATTTCTCTTGCTATACCAACCGGCCTTCTTGTGAAGACCATAAGCAATGGCTGCAGCAGTCGGCTCATTGATGATACGCATCACATTTAGCCCAGCACTAGCACCTGCATTTTTCGTAGCCTGTCGCTGTGAGTCGTTAAAGTAGGCAGGGACTGTGATAACTGCATTTTTCACAGTTGAACCGAGGTAGGCCTCAGCAATCTCCTGCATTTTCACAAGAACCAGAGATGAGATTTCTTCAGCAGCGAATTGTTTCTCTACGCCCATGTGGGTAACCACAATCTTTGGCTTATCATCAGGACCTTGAATGACCTTGAATGGCCAATGCTTCATATCATTTTGAACACATTCATCACTGAACCTCCTACCAATTAACCTTTTTCCGTCTGCAAATTGATGACGAAATTAGAAATTAATACACAATTCCACAAGGAAACAGGTCATAAGATAAAAATAAAAAACAATGATATTACTAATTAGTTGTTATGTTACAAGCAAACAATAATGAATAAGTAGACCTTCTGTGCTGAAAAAATCACTTTTAAGTTTTAACTAAACTACGAACTTAAGAAACAAAAACAAGAACAAAAGAAGACAAATTAAAAACAAATGGAAGAAGCAGAGCCTCAGCAAAACTCAAAGCTGATTTGATAAACAAATTAATTAATCATATGGGAGAAGATCATGAGCTTACCGAAGATGGTGTTGGTGGGGTTTCTTATTACCAGATTGTATGCAGCATCACCAATCAAGCGCTCATTATTTGTGAAAGCAACATAAGAAGGAGTGGTCCTGTTGCCCTGATCATTCACTATAACTTCTATACTATCATGCTGCCACACAGCCACGCAAGAGTATGTTGTCCCTAGGTCAATCCCGATTGCATGGCCCGCTCCCGCCATTGTCAGCCAAAAAAAAACTCTGAAGATCAAAATCCCACAGCCTCGCTCAGTTGGGTTTTAGAGAATTTATTGATTCTTAGTGTGGATTTTAAGATTTTAGGGTCTAGAGAGAGAAGAGGAGGGAGGAGATAGAAGAGATGATGAGAAGGGACGGAGAGAGCTTGGAGGGGAAGTGAAAAGTGAAAATAGCTTGAAATTTTTTGTGGGAATGGTGAATTTTTTGTGAAAAGTGAAAAGAAACAACGTTGAATTTTTTTTCTTTAGACAAATAACTTCGGTTTTGGTTTTTATTATTATTAAGGATTTGGCTTTGGCTTTGGTTTTTGAGACAAGTATTGATGCGATAGCGGTGATGTCTAACCCTTTTTCTTTTTTCTTTTTGAATCTACCTTTTAGATTCTATTATTTATAAAAGGTTTTTATTTATTTATTACAAATGGTCCCTTAATTTCGCAAAATTATCACATTTTGTCCTGAAGGTTTTCTTATGACATTAATGGTTCTTAAGGTTAGTCTTTGTACATCAATTCGGTCCATGTTGTTAGCTCTACTAATTTGATGATGTGACAGTACAACATTTGAATTCAAATCATGTACTCTACAAATGGACCTGATATATGGGCTAGGGGAGGCCTTGGGTTAGGTATTTTTCACCTATTAACTTAATAAGTTGTATCGTGTCAACATGTTAAAAAAACCGAATTGACATGAATATGACACGAAAATGACACGAAAATGACAAGCATGCCCGTTTCATACCTCATATTATATTGTTTTGTTCACTCTCTCTTTTACTGATGTAAGTAGCCCACAATGCTTGGTGGTTCAAGTGGTAAGGAGCTTGTTCCCCTTAAGCAAGGTCTCGAGTTCGAGCCTTGTGAATGGAGCAGCCATCATTGGGAGAGCTTTCCCCTTGAATGGGGTCCGACCCGGCTCGAGGGAATAGTCCTCGCCTACGTGCGGGGGATACCTTGGATTCATAAAAAAAAAGGTAAAAATTATAAGTTCTCTTTTTTCTTATCTTTTTTTGGCGGTTGTTAGAGAGGGAGAGGGGGATTACACACAAGAAAATTATAGGTTCTTTCTTGGCAGGGAAGAAAAGCAAAAAGAAAAAAAATACAGCAGCCAAAGATAAAAAAGAAATAGGAAAGGAAGAAGAGTTGCCGCACCAAGAAGCTAATAAAGAAGCTATAAAGAATTGTAACACCAAAAAAAAAAAGATATACAGAAAAAGAGAGAGCGGGAAAGAAAATAAAGGAAAAAGAAGTGGCAACTTTGGTGGGGTTGGCACTGGCAGCAAAAGAAATGAATGTAAGTGGACGGCCAACTTCGGAGGATTAATCGTAACTAGGAGATGGGGTGAGTTTGTTTTTAGTTCGTTGCATCCAAAGCCACTGTTAAATACAAGTCACACAACTCAACTAGTAAATGATGATTTGGCTCTCCTAAATGAACAACAAATCAAGGGACTCAATGTGATAAAGATCATAAATGAATGCCCTTACATGGCATCGGTAAATCCAAAGTAAGATATTGCCCTTTCAGCATGATCCTGCTTACTAACCTTTCAGCATGATCCTGCTGCCACACATCTAAACTCACATACTGTTTCCATCTTGGTGTTTGTTTTCTTAGTATATTTGGATGAAGTATTAGGTTTTAAATTAAGGGGATACAAATTAAAGTTAATATAATGGTTGAAAACATTATATCTATAAGATCCAAGAAGAATTACATAGTTGTCTCAGCTCAGTTAATTATAACAGACTGTTTCAGTGTTCATCATAACATGACCTTTCTTACATTATCTTCTCAATTCCCTCACAACTTGTGTCATTGCTACTGAGGGTAATCCCCTTCTTCTGGCCAGTCAACATGTCCTCAGCAGATACGTTCAGAATTCCGTTGGCGTCAATTTCAAAGCAGATGTTGAATTTAGGGCCACCCCTTGGAGCTGGAGGAATATCTATGAGCCTAAAATCACCCAAATAGTAATTATTCAACGTCGTTGTACTCTCGCCCTCATAAACGGCGAATCTAACAACAGCTTGGTTGTCATGGCGAGTGGTAACAGTATAATTCTTCTTGACAGGCATCTCGGTGTTTCTTGGAATCACAACTGTCATGTCGCGCTCTCGACCAGTCTCCACACCGAGTGATAGAGGGGTGACATCCAAGAGAGTGAGGTCTTGAAGCTTCTCATTTCCCTTGCCACACAAGATTGCAGCCTGAACAGCAGCACCATAAGCCACAGCCTCATCCGGATTAATGCCTCTGCACAGCTCCTTACCCTTGAAAACATTTTGTAAAAGTTGCTGCACCTTGGGAATTCTTGACGAGCCACCAACAAGAACAACATCATGGACACTGCTTATGTCCATTTTGGCATCCTTCAAACACTTATCCACAGGCTCCATACACTTGACAAAGATATCCCTATTGAGTTCTTCAAATTTAGCTCGAGTAACAGTTACAGAAAAATCAGTACCCTCATACAAACAGTCAATTTCAATGTCAGTTGAAGATGTAAAGGAAAGTCTCCTCTTTGCCTTCTCACAACTATTTTTTAGCCTCCTAAGAGCCCTGGAGTTTCCACTCACATCTAAATTATGCTTCCTCTTGAATTGCTCAACACAGAAATTAACCATTTTGTTATCAAGGTCTTCACCTCCAAGCTGAGTGTCTCCAGCAGTCGCCTTCACTTCGAAGACACCACAACTTATGGAAAGCAGGGACGCATCTAACGTACCACCACCGAAATCAAACATCAGCACATTTCTCTTGCTGTACCAACCAGCCCTCTTGTCAATGCCGTAAGCAATGGCTGCAGCAGTGGGTTCGTTGATAATACGTGTCACCTTTAAGCCAGCAGTGGCACCAGCATTTTTTGTAGCCTGACGCTGCGAGTCATTGAAGTAAGCAGGGACTGTGATCACTGCATTCTTAACAGTCGAACCGAGGTAGCCCTCAGCAGTCTCTCGCATCTTCACCAGAACCATGGATGAGATTTCTTCAGCAGAAAACTTCTTCTCTTGGCCCTTGTGGGTAACCACAATCATGGGCTTATCATCAGGACCTTCAATGACCATGAAGGGCCAGAGATTCATATAATCTTGAACACATGCATCACTAAATCTTCTTCCTATCAACCGTTTTGCATCTGAAAATTTATGCCATATTTAGAAAAGTAATCCAACAAAGAAAAAGAAATTTACAAACTTTGCCACGCACCAGCAAATTTCTGTATAGAAAAACAAGATTATATTTGCACTAGAAAACTGTGAGAGCATACTTTTTATGAAACTGAAAGCATAATACTGAGTTAAGCTATGGCTTCTTAAGCAGTACCCTTTAATCCTCCCTAATTAGGAACACCCATATTAAAATCAAGACAAAACTTTTAACCTCATTAAAAGCTGGAATTAAAAAAATGCAATATAAAACTAGACAAAAAAGTAGAGGGGAAAAAAAACAGAGAAAAAACAGAAAAATTAGAAAACACACAGCCTCACAGGAAATCTACAGAACATAGAAGTGGCATATATAATTTGGATGTGGGAAGATAGAGCTTACCAAAGACGGAGTTTGCAGGGTTTCTGATGACCTGGTTAAAAGCTGCATCGCCTATCAATGTCTCAGTATCAGTGAAGGCAACGTGAGATGGAGTGGTCCTGTTGCCCTGATCGTTCACTATGATTTCAACACGATCGTGCTGCCACACTGCCACGCAAGAGTACGTTGTCCCCAAATCAATTCCAACTGTATGACCTTCTTCTCCAGACATTCTCAGCTCAAAAACTCAAAGAAGAATATAGCAGAAGAAGAAAAATGACTGAAGAGAACGATTGGAAGAACAACAGAGAAGTTCAACTATTTTACTTTTGTCTAAATTGTTGTGCAGGGTTGTCTTTTATTACCTTTTTCTTTGGGTTAACTTTATCATTTTATCGTTATTTTATTTGTCTGATTTTTATACTTTTAAACTATTTTAAAGGAAGAAGAGATATTGAAGGTGGGCCTGGAGGAGTGGAACTTGGGCCTCAACTTGATGTCATTATTGTTGAGTCATTCTATAGTGAGGGCCTTACATATGGTCCTTAAGTAATGTTTTATCTCTTAATCATTGGATCATGCTAACAAATTTGATCCAATGACTAACCAATTTGATCCAACGGTTAAGAGATAGGGACTCACCTAAGGGCCATTTATAAGGGCCTCACTACATAATTCTTGCATTACTATCATACTTCTATTGTTGCAAAGGATCCACTAGTGTACTGGTTTGGAGCAATTGCTCCCCCATGAGAGGTCATGGTTTCGAGTTCTAGCATCCGTGTAGTGTGTATTAGTTTAGTATTCTATCGCCCCTCTCAATAGAAAAGGTATTCAAAAAAATAAAAAAAGAAGAGGAGTACATTCGGAAATATATTATTGAAGTATAATTTTTTTTTTTGGACAACGTATTGTATGGTTATCCTCGGAAAAGTTCTGGCAAAAAAAATCCACGGAAAAGTGGCAATTCTTTTTATAATTTTTTTATTACAAGAAATGGGGGAGGGGGAAATAAATATGCACATACTATAAGGCTCTATTTGATTCACGGAAATGAATTGATGGGAAATTAATCCTTGTGTAGTTTTCTATGGGAAGGGAAATCGAAGGATAACAAGAAATATCATTTTATTTCATTTCGCATGTTTCGTTAGTGCAGGGATTGAAAATACATTTTGTTTAGTTTTCCAATTATATCCCTAAATAAAAAATATGCATTAAAATGTGTAATTAATGTTTGCCTTAGTACTTTTAATTGTTAATAGTGGTAAATTGGTCATAAAAAGATGTGGTTAATGCTTGTATTGGTTTTCCATGAGAGCAGTTCCAGCAACAAGGGCTGGGGGGGTGTTTAGGCCCAAAAACGTTTCCAGCAGCAAGGGCTGGGGGGAGGCATCTGCTGGGGCCCATGAAACTAATATGCATTAAAATGTGTAATTAATGTTTGCCTCAGTACTTTTAATTGTTAATAGTGGTAAATTGGTCATAAAAAGATGTGGTTAATGCTTGTATTGGTTTTCCATGAGAGCAGTTCCAGCAACAAGGGCTGGGGGGGTGTTTAGGCCCAAAAACGTTTCCAGCAGCAAGGGCTGGGGGGAGGCATCTGCTGGGGCCCATGAAACTAGGCCAGCCTTCAGGCAAGATGAGCCCTAGTTCAAGCTGGGGTTTGCAGACATCAACGATGACGTCAGCAACAAAAAATATTTTTTTTAAAAATCTTTAAAAAATAAAAAAAATTCAGATTTAAAAAAAAATAAATACTTAGTCATAGTTTTCACTTCCCACACCAAAAATCTATACAAATTTCTCTCTTCATATCTCATGTGAATAGTTGTTGCCATGGCAATTGGTGGAAACACCACAACCTTTTGCAAGGGCAGCCACTATTCACATGAATAGTAGCTGCCCTAGCCCCCCTCTTTCCATGGCAAAGGGTTCACTGCTGGAAGTGCTCTAAGGAGGGAAAATGAAACCCATGCTAGATGAACAATTTCATTTTTCACCTATTTTTCCATGAGTCAGGAAATCATTTCCTAAGTTTGGACTTACCAAACATGGGAAAGCAAATAATTTATCATTCCCAAATTCATTTTTCCATGAACTAAACGCAGCCGGATGCTAGGGGTGTCGAACCCAAGACCTTGGTCTTGAGCCTAAGCATACAATCCACTATGGCGGTATCCCTTGGCGAAAAGTGGCAATTCTTAAGTTATGTTTTAAAAAAAAAATGGCAATTATTTTATTTTTTTGGCCATTAGTTACTGCCAAAAAAAAATGAAGATAATAATGATAATGATAAATTTGACAGTGCTAACTTGTATGTAAAAGCATCAAACTAAACAATGCCTCTTTTTTTATCATTTTACCATTTATATACCTCTCAAAAATACCAACCTTACCATATTATTACTCTTGCATTCTATAAAGTATAAAGTAGCAATGTTCAAAACCTCATGTATGTTAGACATGACATTGTTGACAACAGAGGGCCAATGGAAGCAATAAAACATTACACAAGAACAAGCCACCAACGGGTTCCCTGTCGGAGGCCTCACCCCAGCTCACGAATTTCTGATTCACCTTGTAACACAACCGCCACACCAAAAAGGACTAGTTTACAGTAATAACACACACCCGCAAGGTGTGGAATTTGATTAATACAAGCTATATCAGTCTACTGCATGCCAGAAATTAACGTTTCTTACATCTGTCTAGACTTTCTTAAGGCAATGTTTCAATTCCTTCGGAAGTTCTTCTGTCACTTTTGAATGTAATCCCCTTCTTTTGGCCAGTAGACTTGTCCTCGGCAGTGACACTCAGGATACCGTTCGGATCAATATCAAAGCAAACTTCGAATGTAGGAACATCCGCTGGGGCTGGAGGAATGTCCTTGAGGCGAAATGAGCCTAAAAAGTCATTATTTGTAGTTGTTTCACTCTCACCCTTGAAAATGGGGAACGAGATAGTCTCTTGGTTGTCAAAGATAGTAGTAAGAACATGCTTCTTCTTGACAGGAATTCTGGTATTTCTTGGAATCACAACTGACATGTGACGTCCTACAGAGTAGTCTCCACCCCAAGTGAGAGAGGGGTGACATCCAAGAGTGTGAAGTCTTGAAGCTTCCCAGTTAGATTCCCACTACTTAAGACTGCAGCTTCAACAGCGGCACCGCATGCAATAGCCTCGTCAGGATTAATGCCTTTGCACAACTCCTTCCCCTTGAACACATGCTGCAATAGCTGTTGCACCTTGGGGATCCTAGAAGAGCCACCAGCAAGGACAACATCATGGATGCTGCTTATGTCCATATTTGCATCCTTCAAACACTTCTCCACGGGCTCCATGCATTTTTCGAAGAAATCCACGTTGAGTTGCTCGAATTTGGCACGCATAATAGTTAAGCAGAAATCAACACCCTGATCCAAACAATCAATGTCAATGTCAGTCTCAGACATAAATGAAAGCGTCCTCTTCGCCTTCTCACACAGGCATTTCTTAACCTCATAAGAGCCTTGGAGTTTCCACTAATGTCCACTTTATGCTTCCTCTTGAATTGCTCAACACAATAATTCACCATTCTGTTATCCAAGTCACCACCTCCTAGATGACTGTCTCCAGCAGTGGCCTTCACTTCAAAGACGCTATCAGCTATGGTAAGTAGTGAAACATCTAAAGTACCACCACCCAAATCAAATATCATCACATTTCTTTTGCTGTACCAACCAGACTTCCTGTCAAGCCCATAAGCAATGGCTGCAGCAGTCGGCTCATTGATGATACGCATCACATTTAGCCCAGCACTAGCACCTGCAGTTTTTGTCGCCTGTCACTGTGAGTCGCTAAAGTAGGCAGCGACGGTGATAACTGCATTTTTCACAGTTGAACCGAGGTAGGCCTCAGCAATCTCCCGCATTTTTACAAGAACCAGAGATGAGATTTCTTCAGCAGCGAATTGTTTCTCTACGCCCATGTGGGTAACCGCAATCTTTGGCTTATCATCAGGACCTTGAATGACCTTGAATGGCCAATGCTTCATATCATTTTGAACACGTTCATCACTGAACCTCCTACCAATTAACCTTTTTGCGTCTGCAAATTGATGACGAAATTAGAAATACACAATTCCACAATGAAACAGGTCATATGATAAAAATAAAGCATATCGTTAATATAAAAATTCTGTAAACTATTCCAAATTCTGTCATTCTCTCACCCTGCCACAATGAGATCACTGACTTGCTGTATGTTACAAAGCAAACAATAATGAATAAGTAGACCTTCTGTGCCTCAGCAAAATCACTTTTAAGTTTTAACTAAACTACGAACTTAAGAAACAAAAACAAGAACAAAAAATAGACAAATTAAAAAATCTTCCTTACGGCATGCATGACTTAACTTTATTGGTTTAGGTTCATTTTTCTGACCAAACAACAAAGGAACTCAGTATTTACAAAACAGCCATTTGGTCAAGGCTTTGGTTTTTCATATAGAATGGGCTTTTCAGCGTTTCCGTAAGTGGAGGGAACTGAAGCACAAAGAGGCTTGCGGACAATTTTTATGTTATGAAATTGTTTCACGTTGATTTGAACTTTCTTTGGGAAGAAAAGTCAAAATAATAAAACATAAACTCATAAATAAAACATTTGCCAAAGTACTGTTAAAAATATCAATAGCATAGTTCAACCTTATAGTAGACGAGTACAATGCCATAAATTAATGCTTCTTACATCGCTGGCTCAATTCCTTCACAGGTTCTTCTATCACTGTTGATTGTAATGCCTTTCTTTTGGCCGGTGGACGTGTCCTCGGCATATACACTCAGGATACCGTTGGCATCAATATCAAAGCAAACATCAAAATTTGGAACTCCCCTGGGAGCTGGAGGAATGCCATCAAGTGAAAACTTACCCAACAAGTTATTGTTCATGTAATTTTCACTCTCCCCCTCATAAATTGGGAAGTCGACAGCAACTTGGTTGTCCCGAAGAGTTGTTAAACTCGTTTTCTTCCCCACGGGAATTCTAGAATTTCTTGGAATCACAAAATCCATGTATCGCTTCATAGTATCATGTTCGGTACACTGCACCCCAAGTGAGAGAGGGGTGACATCCGAAAGAGTGAAGTCTTGAAGCTTCCCAGTTGGATTCCCACCACTCAAGACAGCAGCATCAACAGCGGCACCATATGCCACAGCCTCATCAGGATTAATGCCCTTGCACAGCTCCTTCCCCTTGAACACATCGTGCAGTAACTGTTGCACCTTGGGGATCCTAGAAGAGCCACCAGCAAGGACAACATCATGGATGCTGCTTATGTCCATATTTGCATCCTTCAAACACTTCTCCACAGGCTCCATGCATTTTTCAAAGAAATCCATGTTGAGTTGCTCGAATTTGGCACGTGTAAGAGTCAAGCAGAAATCAATACCCTGATTCAAACAATCAATGTCAATGTCAGTCTCAGACATAAATGAAAGCCTCCTCTTCGCCTTCTCACAGGCATTTCTTAACCTCACGAGAGCCCTCGGGTTTCCACTAATGTCTACATTATGCTTCCTCTTGAATTGCTCAACACAATAATTCACCATTCTGTTATCAAAGTCACCACCTCCTAGATGAGTGTCTCCAGAAGTGGCCCTCACTTCAAAGACACTATCAGCTATGGTAAGTAGTGAAACATCCAAAGTACCACCACCAAAATCAAATATCATCACATTTCTCTTGCTATACCAACCAGACTTCCTGTCAAGCCCATAAGCAATGGCTGCAGCAGTCGGCTCATTGATGATACGCATCACATTTAGCCCAGCAGTAGCACCTGCATTTTTTGTAGCCTGTCGCTGAGAGTCGTTAAAGTAGGCAGGGACGGTGATAACTGCATTTTTCACCGTTGAACCGAGGTAGGCCTCAGCAATCTCCCGCATCTTTACAAGAACCATAGATGAGATTGCTTCAGCGGCAAATTGTTTCTCCACGCCCTTGTGCGTAACCACAAACACTGGCTTCTCAGCAGGACCTTCAACGACCTTGAATGGCCAATGCTTCATATCATTTTGAACGCATTCATCACTGAACCTCCTACCAATTAACCTTTTTGCTTCTGCAAATTGATGATAAAATTAGAAATACACTATTTGACAAGGAAACAGGTCATATGATAAAAATAAAAGCATATTTTTAACATAAAGATGTTGTAAACTATTCCAAATTCTCTCTCTCTCTCTCATTCTGCCAAAATGAAACTAGTAATTACTGAATTGCTATATGTTATAATTTATAAGCAAACGATAGTGAATAAGTACACCTTCTGTACTGAACAAATCAGTTTTAATAAAAGTACTAACTTATGGAGTGTCGGAGAGAAACGAACAAAAACAAGAAGACTTACAAAAAATTTTTTATAAAGGAAGAAGCAGAGCCTCAGCAGATTACAAAGCTTATTTGTGAAACAAATTAATTGGCCATATGTGGGAAAGTCATGAGCTTACCGAAGATGGTGTTGACGGGGTTTTTGATGGCCTGATTGAAAGCAGCATCACCAATGAAGCGGTCAGTATCTGTGAAAGCAACATAAGAAGGAGTGGTCCTGTTGCCCTGATCATTCACTATAACTTCTACATGATCATGCTGCCACGCAGCCACGCAAGAGTAGGTTGTCCCCAGGTCAATCCCGATTGCATGGCAAGCTCCCGCCATTGTCAGCTAAAAGGAAACTAGAAGAATAGCAAAGAAGAAAAATGGGGTGCTGGAAATCAAAATCACCCCGCCGAACTCAGTTGGGTTTTAGGGAATTGATTTATTTTCACTGTGGATTTTCGGATTTTTAGGATTTAGAGAGAGGAGATGGAGGAAGAGAGAGAAGGATGGGGTAGAGAAAAGATGAAGAGAAGAGACGGAGAATGCTTAGGAGGAGTGAACATAGCTTGAAATTTTTTGTGGCAAAGTGAAAATACCTTGAAATTTTTGTGGGGAAACTTGACTAGGGTAAAACTAACAGGCATAACTTTAAAAATGTCCTAAAAGAGAGCTCGATGTAGGGCCAGAGCTTGATCCACTTCGCAGCAGTCCAACAAGCGGTTAATGAGTAAAATAGCCAGTGTCGTGTTATTTGTTATTTTAATTTTTAAGCAATCATGTTTGTATCGGGTATTTTTCATCCGTTAACTTAACGGATCGTGTCATGTCAACTCGTTAAAATACGTGGGTTGACATGAATACAACAAACATGACCCGTTTCATACCTCATATTATATTGTTTTGTTCACTCTCTCTCTTTTTTTCTTTTTTCTTTTTTATCAGAGAGAAGAATTTCATTGAACTTATATCAACACTTATAATAGAATCAATTGAAGGACCGAAGGGCTAAGAGTGGCCTCATTAAAACTTCGTCTTAAAACCCTCCTCATCAATTCAATTAAGGCTTAATATCACAAAACGCCCCAAAGGTTTACGAAACTATTAGATTGCATTCTTAATGTTTTTTTTTTTTTTGGTCATTCGTGGTCCTCAAGGTTAGTATGTGCGATCACAAATAGTCCATGCCGTTAAGTTCCGTCAAAAACTCCGTTAGTTTATTGACGTGGCATATATATATCACAAAACAACCCTGAGGTTCACGCACCTATCACAAATGGTCCATGCGAAATTTTTTAATTTAAAATTCATAAAATTTTGGTTTTCTTTTTTAAATTGTATGAATTTTAAAATTTTAAAAATATATATTGTATTTTAAATACACATGACACTATATTATTGGAGATGTGGGCTCCACATATACGCCACATCAACAAACTAATGGAGTTTTTAAAAAATAATTTAAAATTCATAAAACTTAAAAATGGAAAAACCAAGGGTTTCGGGTTCATAAATGGTCCTCAAGGTTAAAATCTTCTATAAATAGTTTTTTCATTTTTAAATTTTATTTATTTTAAATTATTTATAAAAAAAACTTCATTAGTTTGTTGATGTGACATATATGTGAACCCCACATCTTCAAAAATATAGTGTCACGTGTATTTAAAATACAATATATATATTTTAAAAATTTTAAAAAGAAAACCAAAATTTTATGAATTTTTAAATTTTAAATTTTAAAAAATTTCGCAAGGACCATTTGTGATAGGTGCGTGAACCTCAAGGATGTTTTGTGATATAAATATATGCCACGTCATCAAACTAACGGAGTTTTTGACGGAACCTAACGGCAGAGACCATTTGTGATCACACATACTAACCTTGAGGACCACGAATGACACATAAAAACACTAAGGATGCAATCTGATAGTTTCGTAAACTTTAAGGATGTTTTGTGATATTAAGCCTATAATCAATTCACTCTCTCTTTTAATGATGTATGTCGTCCACTTGGAGAAAGGAAAAAAATTATAGTTTCTCTTTTAAAATTTTTTATTTTTGTCAGTAGTTAGAGAGGAAGAGGAGGAGGAAGAAACTATAGGTGTTTGGTGAGTAAGAAAAAGCAAAAGGAAGAAAAGTGCAGCAACCAACGAAATAAAAGAAATAGGAAAGGAAGAAGAGTTGCCGCACCAAGAAGCTAAACAAGATATAAAGATTGGGGAATGCTAGCAACCTTCTTTCTAACCTTCTCTTTTGGACCTTCTTCTTTTTCCTCATGACATGTGTCATTCTCCTTACATTTAAAACTATGTCATTAATGCATCATACAAACTATCTTTTTATTTTCCAAATTTACCCTTATTATATGTATTGACTTTCATGTTTCTTTCAACTTATAATTTTTTTTTCTTCATAACTTCCTCACCACCTTATTAAAAAAATTAAAAAAGAAAAAACGTCACTATTTTGCTGTTTACTTGGTTGTGGTCTTGAAGTGACGTTTTTCTTTCAAAATTGTTATGTGCAACAAAATTATGGGCTTTCTTACTCAGATTTTTTTTTTCCTTAAAAAAAAAGATATTTTCTTTCAAGTTTTCTTTTTATTAAATAAGGCGATAAGAAAGTTATTAAAATTTTTTGGATAAATTAAAGGAAAAATAAAATTTAATACATTTAATAAGGGTAAATTTGGAAAACAAAAGATAGTTTGTAAGATACATTAATGACATTGTTTTAAGTGTAAAGAGGAGTGACACATGTCATAAGGAAAATGGAGAAGGTCCAAAAGAGAAGGTTAGAGAGAAGGTTGCTAGTATTCCCCATAAAGATTTGTACCACAAAAAAAAAATATATATAACGAAAGAGAGGAAGAGAGTGGGGAAGAAAATAAAGGAAAAGGAAGAAAAGTGCAGCAGCCAACGAAATATAAGAAATAGGAAGAAGAGTTGCCGCACCAAGAAGCTAAGCAAGATATAAAGATTTGTACACCAAAAAAATAAAAATATAAAGAAAGAGAGAGAGAATGGGGAAGAAAATAAAGGAAAAAGAAGTGGCAACTTTGGTGGGGTTGGCACTGGCAGGGGGGCAGCCAAAGAATGAATGAATGTAGCTACTAGAAAAATGCTCTATATGGACCCTTTATTAGAGACAGATATAAAAACACTCTATAGAATGCTATTAGGGACTGATAATAGAAACAGTCCCTATAAAATGTTATTGGATATGGATTAATAATTTTCGTGACTAATTATTTGAATAAAGTAGAGAACAAGGCACGAAAAAACTAACTGTGCCTAAAACTCTCACATCATTTCCAGTGCAGTAAGGCACAAACCAACACAAAGACAGTACCAACCAACTAAAGACTTTATACATATACACCATTCTTTCTTTTTGTACCCCTTCTTTGCTATCTAAAATTTTGACACCTGTATACCCTCTCAGATTTTGGTTTTCAATCTTCTTTTCTTTCTTCAGGCAAACAAGTCTCGCTCTTGCTCTCACTCGCACTCTCACTCCTCACTCTATCAACCCTATCTCGTTTTCTCTCTTAACTCTCGAACGATCCACCTCCTCTCTCTCAATCTCACTCAAATCCTCTTCTCTCTCAGATCTCTCAGCCTCTCTGCTTTAATCTAAGGTATGAAAATCCCTAAGCTTTCGATATTTGGGTGTTTCTGATTTGGTGTTGGGCATTTGATTGTTAGTGGCATGGATTTTTCTGGTAAACATAGTTTTTGTATCGAGGATTTTGTTAACAAGGCGGAGGAGACCAGCCTCAAGGGGTCTTCAAGATCTCCCTAATAATTCTCCTATGGAATGTTCGTGGGCTTGGCAACCGATGACGTTCCTATTATGAAGATCTTTCTTCTGAATTTTCTTCAGGCTAAGAGCCAATTTTGGTCTCCCTTGCTTGTCAGTTGGGGTTCTAGATCAAGAAAATTGGAAGTGGCGGTTGATGTTTGGCTGGATCTGTTATGATGCTCACAATACGTTTTTGACTCTACACAAAGAACTATGATGCTTTCTTTAGATCATAGGAGGCTTTCTTTGACAGTATCTGGGCAGTGATGGGATGTGTTTCAATAGTTTTGCTATTGGGTGATTGGTTGGATCTATTATGATATCCATAGTACGTTTTTGACTTTGTACGAAGAACTATGATGCTTTTTCTAGATCATAGGAGGACTTCTTTGACAGTACCTACGTAATGATGGGATGTTGTTTTAAGGGTTATGTGGTTGGGGTTTAGGTTGGTTTGTTTCGTATAAGTTGTTTGACTCTTCTGTTTAGTCAATAGCATGGGTTGTACTCTTTCCTACCCCAGGATTTTGTTTCTCTAGGAAGGTTTTAACAAGGCTGCCGTTAACATGCTAATACTTACCATGTAATGTTCCTTTCAGTTTAATGAAATACCATCTTTTCTATATAAAAAAAGTCGATGAGAGGCCATCATGACTTAACATTACAAACCAGTAATAATTGATTAATACAAGCAATCTCAGCGTATAAATTAAAATGCCATAAATAAATTGACGTTGCATCAGTATCTATTGAGTTTCTTAAATCAATATGTTGAAATGTTGAATTAATACAACCTTTCAAAAAACTAATGCTTAAATTTTAATTAATGAATAAAAATCCAACTGTTAGAACAATTCATTCAATCCCTGCCTTAAAACACGTTTTCAATCTCAGCTACCTTTTACCAAAACCAAAACCAAAACCAAAAAATATCTTCCTTGCGACATGCATGACTTAACTTTATTGGTTTAGGTTCATTTTTCTGACCAAACAACAAAGGAACTCTGTATTTACAAAACAGCCATTTGGTCAAGGCTTTGGTTTCATATAGTATGGGCTATTCAGCGTTTCCGTAAGTGGAGGCAACTGAAGCACAAAGAGGGCTGCGGACAATATTTATGTTATGAAATTGTTTCACGTTGATTTGAACTTTCTTTGGGAAGAAAAGTAAAAAATAAAACATAAACTCATAAATAAAACATTTGCCAAAGTACTGTCAAAAATATCAATAGCATATTTCAACCATAGTAGACGAGTACAACGACATAAATTAATGCTTCTTACATCGCTGGCTCAATTCCTTCACAGGTTCTTCTATCACTGTTGATTGTAATGCCTTTCTTTTGGCCGGTGGACGTGTCCTCGGCAGATACACTCAGGATACCGTTGGAATCAATATCAAAGCAAACATCAAAATTAGGAACTCCCCTGGGAGCTGGAGGAATGCCATCAAGGTAAAACTCACCCAAAAAGTTATTGTTCATGTAATTTTCACTCTCCCCCTCATAAATTGGGAAGCTGATCTCAACTTGGTTGTCCCGAATAGTTACTAAACTCGTTTTCTTCCTCACAGGAATTCTAGAGTTTCTTGGAATCACAAAATCCATGTATCGCTTCATAGTATCAGGATCCTTGCACCGCACCCCAAGTGAGAGAGGGGTGACATCCAAAAGAGTGAAGTCTTGAAGCTTCCCAGTTTGATTCCCACCACTCAAGACAGCAGCATGAACAGCGGCACCACATGCCACAGCCTCATCAGGATTAATGCCCTTGCACAGCTCCTTCCCCTTGAACACATGCTGCAATAGCTGTTGGACCTTGGGTATCCTAGAAGAGCCACCAGCAAGGACAACATCATGGATGCTGCTTATGTCCATATTTGCATCCTTTAAACACTTCTCCACAGGCTCCGTGCATTTTTCAAAGAAATACATGTTGAGTTGCTCGAATTTGGCACGGGTAATATTTAAGCAGAAATCAACACCCTGATCCAAACAATCAATGTCAATGTCAGTCTCAGACATAAATGAAAGCCTCCTCTTCGCCTTCTCACAGGCATTTCTTAACCTCATAAGAGCCTTTGAGTTTCCACTAATGTCCACTTTATGCTTCCTCTTGAATTGCTCAACACAATAATTCACCATTCTGTTATCAAAGTCACCACCTCCTAGATGAGTGTCTCCAGAAGTGGCCTTCACTTCAAAGACACTGTCAGCTATGGTAAGTAGTGAAACATCCAAAGTACCACCACCCAAATCAAATATCATCACATTTCTCTTGCTATACCAACCGGCCTTCTTGTGAAGACCATAAGCAATGGCTGCAGCAGTCGGCTCATTGATGATACGCATCACATTTAGCCCAGCACTAGCACCTGCATTTTTCGTAGCCTGTCGCTGTGAGTCGTTAAAGTAGGCAGGGACTGTGATAACTGCATTTTTCACAGTTGAACCAAGATAGGCCTCAGCAATCTCCCGCATTTTTACAAGAACCAGAGATGAGATTTCTTCAGCAGCGAATTGTTTCTCTACGCCCATGTGGGTAACTACAATCTTTGGCTTATCATCAGGACCTTGAATGACCTTGAATGGCCAATGCTTCATATCAGTTTGAACACATTCATCACTGAACCTCCTACCAATTAACCTTTTTGCGTCTGCAAATTGATGACGAAATTAGAAATACACAATTCCACAAAGAAACAGGTCATAAGATAAAAATAAAAGCATATCATTAATATAAAAATTCTGTCACTCTCTCACTCTGCCACAATGATATTACTAATTAGTTGTTATGTTACAAGGAAACAATAATGAATAAGTAGACCTTCTGTGCTGAACAGATCACTTTTAAGTTTTAACTAAACTACTAACTTAAGATACAAAAACAAGAACAAAAAGAAGACAAATTAAAAACAAATGGAAGAAGCAGAGCCTCAGCAAAATTCAAAGCTGATTTGATATTGATAAACAAATTAATTGGTCATACTCATATGGGAGAAGATCATCAGCTTACCGAAGATGGTGTTGGTGGGGTTTCTTATTACCAGATTGTATGCAGCATCACCAATCAAGCGCTCAGTATTTGTGAAAGCAACATAAGAAGGAGTGGTCCTGTTGCCCTGATCATTCACTATAACTTCTATATTATCATGCTGCCACACAGCCACACAAGAGTATGTTGTCCCTAGGTCAATCCCGATTGCATGGCCCGCTCCCGCCATTGTCAGCCAAAAGAAAACTCTGAAGATCAAAATCCCACAGCCTCGCTCAGTTGGGTTTTAGGGAATTTATTGATTCTTAGTTTGGATTTCAGGATTTTAGGGTTTAGAGAGAGAAGAGGAGGTAGCAGATAGAAGAGATGATGAGAAGAGACGGAGAGAGCTTAGAGGGAAAGTGAAAATAGCTTGACTTTTTGTGTGGGAAAGTTGACTAGAACTTGAATTCAACTTTTTAAACTCAAAAACAGAATTTGAGTCCAAAACAAAAAAATCCTGTTTGGTAGCCCTATTTTTAAAAATTCAAACTCAAGAACAACTAAAAAACAAAACCAAAAAAAACAAATCTGTTTTTTCAGTTTTTTTTCTAACAACCCACAAGTTCTCAAATTTTTAAGATTTGAAAACAGTTTTCAAGTTGCATACCAAACAAGTTTTTGAATCTTCAAAATAGATTTAAGAACTCCTTGTTTTTAAGAAAAATAAATTTTTTTGAGTTCCTTATTTGAATAGGATACCAAACGCCTCCTAACTTTGGTTTTGGTTTTTATTATTATTAAGGATTTGGCTTTGGCTTTGGTTTTTAAGACAAGTATTGATGCAATAGCGGTGATGTCTTACTCTTATTCTTTTTGAATGTCTACCTTTTAGATTCTATTATTTATAAAAGGTTTTTATTTATTTATTACAAATGGTCCCTTAATTTCGCAAAATTATCACATTTTGTCCTTAAGGTTTTTTTTTTATGACATTACATATAGTTTGTTGCTTTTATGTTACAATCGTGAATCGTGAATTTGAGTTCAGATAATTTTTTTAAAGAGGAGGGGGGGAAGAGGGGGGGAGGGGGGGGTGGTTGTTGGGTAGAGTTGTTATGTGGTTATTACTTTTTTTTTTTCCTAATGGGTGAAATAGGTTGCCGTGTCATTCGTTATTTTAACATGGTGTGTTCCTATTAGGTATTTTTGACCTATTAACATGTCGTGTTATGTCAACACATTAAAAAAACCAAATTGACACAAATACGACACAAAAATAACAAGCACGCCCATTTCATACATCATATTATTTGTTTTGTTCACTCTCTCTTTTACTGATGTATGTCGCCTGTTCGGTTCATTTTTACACATGATTTTTCATGTTATTCACCCACTATTTTGAGTTAGTTCTTGACATTTTATAGCTAGAGGGGGATTACACATGACAAAATTATAGGTTCCTTCTTGGCGGGGAAGAAAAGGAAAAAGAAGAAAAATACAGCAGCCAAAGAAATAAAAGAAAGGGAAATAGAGAAAGAGAAAGAGCGGGAAAGAAAGATATACAGAAAAAGGAGTTGCTGCACCAAGAAGCTAATAAAGAATTGTACCACGAAAAAATATATATATATATATACAATGTTTATACCGTATTTGACCAAGCAACTAGAAGCAATTCTAAGCAAGGCAAAGAGTCCCACATTGAAATATTGCAAGAAGTGAAGACTCCTTCTCATCTATAAAAGGAGACCACTCTCCACTTAGGAAAGGATCCCCCCTTGGTTGGGCTTGATCTTTAGTCTCTACTTTCTTCTCTTTATATTTGGGCCCAGCCCCTTGTACAAATGTAAATACACATTGTTATAATAATGAGAATATACTTCTCCGTGGACGTAGCTCATTCATTAAGGGTGGACAACGTATATCTTGTCTTCTGTATATTTATCGCTTGTCAAATCCTCACACACTTGCTGAAGGTCCTCACCTTCACCCATCATCCATCATACCTCATCTCTAAGTTGGGCTAAAAAGTGCTGAACAATTTTTTAGCGTCAACAGTTTGGCGCCGTCTGTGGGAATCGACACTAAAGGCTTATGTCATCCTCCCCTTCTTCAGTGCCCTTCGGCACCCCTACAATCTGTATCACTTGACTTGCCGTTCGGCAATACCATACTGGAGCTATTATGAGTGCTAAGGCAGCAACATGCAGAAGACAATTCAAGCCCAAGGGAGGCCCACTTGGCCCACTTCCATAAGATAAGTGGCATGTTCATAATTTTCTACATAAATTAATATTGAAGGAGAGAACCACCCGTGAGTCCAAGGAAAAGCCAACCAAAATATGGCTATCACCTTGCATGGCTTGCATGAGTTCCACCATTTCATTTCAAAGTGCCGTTCGGCAATACCTCCATTTCAAGTCCAAAGGATACCCACGTGCTCATTTTCAAAAGCCCATATGAAGTATAAACCAAGGGCACCTAATAGCTTGCAGACCACCAATGGGTAGTGTGCACCTTGGTGTCTTCAGCAAGTTTTGTTCGTCAAAAAGGCTTTAGAGTGGCACATTACCTTTCGGCACCTTGCTATGCATGGCTTCCATGACTGTGGGAGCAGCCCAACCATTCGGCAGCCAAAGAAAACCCCACATGCCTCACACTAAGGCTAAATGGCTCGGAGAACCATGTTCACTTCAAAGAGATAAGCAAGTAGGGGTGGGCATCAATCCGGCCGATCCGGCCAAACCGGCCGAATCAATCCGTATTTTCCAGTTTGGTTTGGTTTTGACTTTAAAAAAGTCAACAGTTTTAAAATCCGAACCGAATCGGAGTGATTTGGTTCAGCTGCAGTTTTAACATTTGAAAAACTGTGTTAATCCGAACCGAACCGTTTAAAATTTAATTAATTAATTATATATATTCATATATATTACTTTACCTTCGTCTCTTAACCCTAGCCGCAACTCCCTCTCATTATTTCTCCATCTCTCTCTGCTACCTCTCCCTCTCTGTCTGCCTCTCTACTACATCTCCCTCTCCCTCTCCCTCGACGCTAACTCAAGCCAACAAACTCGGCGAAACCCACCCATTCGCCCTCAGCGAAATCCATCTCTGCGAAACCCAAGTTCCATCATCGACCACCAGGTTCTGCAAGGATTGATTATGTGAATATTGCTGGTGGTGGATCGTCATAATCAGCTGGGTTTGTATTCAACTTGCTCCCAATGCAACAGAGTACTAGTTCTCTGCAGCCATCGCTGTTTAGAACGGAAGGTCGTGGGTGGGGTCTTTTAGCAAATGAGAATATGAAGGTAATAGCTTACCATTATTGGGAACAACTATAAACTGACATCTCATTACTTGGATTCTCTGCTATTCTATTATTTACTGGATTTGATTATATACATATATTACTGTGTTTTAGGCAAGTGCATCTTGTTCTGTTATTTATCTTTAACACTTTTGTTTGACTCCACTGAGAACATTGAAGCTTTATAAGTTTATGATTGAACTATAGATCATTTATTTATAGTTTGTTCATATGTTGAGTGAATTTAATCTCCTGTAAGTTTTTTAATTTGCTCTGTACAATGTTTGCAGAGCAATTTATTATTGAGTACTGTGGAGAAGTGATATCATGGAAAGAAGCAAAGCAAAGATCTCAAGCTTATGAAATTCAAGGTGATTTAATAGACTTATGAAATATATGTCTGTATTTATTTTGAAACTGCGTTCAATGTTTGTGCTTTGGTGCAGATCTCAGGGATGCATTTATTATTTCTCTCAATGCATCAGAATGGACCTCTTCATCCAGTAACTCGCCTTCAGTTTGGGTTGGTTTGTTATTGTAGGGCTCAGATTCATCTATATACCTTCCACAAGGAGATAAAATGAGTAAGCTGCTCTGTGTTTCTGTTGCTAGACTAGTAATGTGTTGTTGGTTTGCTTCAATTTTCATTCCTAGAGTTGAATGGAAGTTCTATGTTTCTATTAAAAGAATGGAAGTTCTATGTTTTAATCCATTAGTTTACTTAGCACTCTGTTGCTTTTTGGTAAAAAATATGGTGATTTAGCATGTTGGATTTGCTGTGTGTGGGATGCGATTACAGAGCTTGTGTCATACAATATTCTTATGAAACCCATTATTGTTGTTTTTATGTGCAGAATGAGAATATCAGCAGCAGAGAGGGGGAAAAGTTCTATTTTACTGTTTTGATGTGCAGAATGTTGTGTTGAATCTGATGGGGCTGCTGTTTGGAAGGATTATCACTGTTTTTTAAATCATGATTTGTAATAACTATATAATTAAGCACAATAGGATTGTATTTATTTGAGAATCATGTTCTGTAATAATTATTATTGCTTGCAGCTTCTTTTCTTTCGTATGTTTTTTCTTTACCTCTTTGGGTTGTATGATTAGTGAATGTTTTATGTGTTTGATATTAGGGAACTTGAGAATGAACATGTTCGGTGACATGGAGAAAATGATGTTTTCTTTTATGCCTAAACCGGCCGAACCAAACCGCACCGAACCGGATATGAATGGTTTGGTTTGGTTCGGTTTCCATTTTGATTTTAGCTTAAACCGAACCAAACCGGACCGTGAAAGTTTAATTGGTTCAGCTGTGGTTTGAGGGTGAAACCGGATCAAACCGGACTGTGCCCACCCCTAGTTTTCGTTTCGTTGTAGAATACCTTAAATAAATTTATTTAAAAGACACCTTTGTTTGGGTCACATACGGGTGAAGTCAGGGAAGCAGGCTGAAATTTTGGGTGACATTGCGTGTGGGTGCAGCAGGCCTCGTACATATGCTAAAGCTAAAGCAATCCAAAACTAGGAAATAGCTTCTTCTCACCTCTCTCTCTCTCTCTCTCTCTCTCTCTCTCTCTCTCTCAGGAAGCCTTTTCCGGTCAAATGGCGAGGAAGCCAAAACTACCATCATTTTTCAAGGTCTTACAGAGTGATGACTTCCCTCGACAGCTGGTAACATCCTATATATGCCAGCCCTCTCTGACTTTATTTTTTATTTTTGGTCTTTCATGTATTAGTATTTAGTACTTCGATGTCATACAATTTGCACTCTGTGTATTGAAAATATATGGTCAGTAAAGAAGCTTGTAAACTTTGCAGTGTCTACCACCTGCCTTGATGGTGCATTACAATGGACCATCTCACTGTAAATGTGCCCTTAGAGGCCCTACTGGAAAATGGTGGACAGTGGGTTTGGAAGAGAGGGAGGATGGGTTTTACTTCTGTGAGGGTTGGCAGCGTTTCGTGACGGATCATTCCTTAACAGTTGGATACTTTATGGTGTTTGATCATCAAGGTGGCTCAAAGTTTGATGTTACAATCTGTCATCCAATGGGCTGTGACAAGAGGAGAAGTATAGGCAACTCTGTTACTGTTAGGCCTGGAAAGAGACCCGCAACTGCTGCTGCTGTGGAAGAAACATCAACTGGATCCATAGTGTTCAGATCAGAGCATCCATGCTTCATAGGAATTCTAGGCAAGAATCAATACCGCATGGTGAGTAGTACTTTTGTCATTCTATGCCAATTATGTTTAATCAACATTATCCCTATTTGTGATTGGAAGTTAGTAAAAGAGATCTTTGAAGGGTTCAATCGAATGAGCATTTTCTTTCCCTCTAATGATGTTCCATATTGCAGAACATCCCAAAGGAACTAGCTGTAGCTGAAGGCCTCATTGGAAAGGAGAGGGTGATGCTTAAAGATCCAAATGGGAGATCATGGAACGTTAAGCTTAGGCTCGACGAAAAGGAGCATCATGGTGGTCGTTTGCTCATGACACAAGGGTTGGTAGCATGTTGGCAAGCGAACAACATTTTACTCGGGGATACAATCGTTTTCGAGCTTGTTAAGAGGAATGAAATGGAGGTTCATATTTTCAGAACTGGAGCAGGAGGAAATATGCGTTCTGTTGTGCTTGATGCCTCCAGTAGAGTCAAACATTAAACCTATAGTACAGTTTACTTCATTGTCTAATGTTCTGTTGGATAGCATGTATTTGGCTCCCATGATTAAAGTTGTATGCACCTTTGTTTGGTTATGAAAAAGAAAGTCTATCAACATTAGAATTGATTGAAAGGTTAAGATGGACAATAATCTCAGATAAACATACTGGTTTTCACATTTGTTTTGGGTCTGAAAAGCTTCATTCATGAATAGCAAGAGAGGTCTGACACAGGAAAAAAATAAAACAGAAGGAAAAAAAGATTAAAGCAAAGCAAGAGAGGCCTAATGCAATCTGTGCACAAGATTTGCTGAGGTAAAATGCCCAAAAAGAAGAGCCCAATGCCAGGACGTCCAAATTATATAAAACAAACAAGTACCCAAGAGTCAGTGTCTCATAAGAATTTAGTAAGAGAGAGAGAGAGAGAGAGAGAGAGAGAGAGAGAGAGAGAGAGAGAGAGAGAGAGAG